CCCCAAAACCCCAAAACCCCAAAACCCCAAAACCCCGGATTTTAACAAAAAAATAGAATAATTAAAAATGTCAGCAGACCAAGACCCTATCATCAGAGATGAGGAAGAAGATAGACAATATGCCCAGGAGAGCTTTGAAGATGATGAAGACTATGAGTATCCTACTGATAACCCAGCTACCAGTCAGCCTCAAAGTAACTTCCTCAACAATGATAATTTAGATCTTCCTGATTCTCTTCCAGAGAACCCTATAGACCAAATGAGCATGGTCAAGAACATGACCACCGAGCAACTAAACGAGATGCTTGCTAAGATTAGAAAAGAGGGAAATCTTCAGCCTCAAGATTCTACCACACAGGGTAAATGATTCGTTCAAGATTTAGATGAAATGGTTAAAGATCTTGAAGAGGAAGGAACTGAAAGAATTGAAGAGCAACATCCAAATGGAGAAAGACTTATTGATCCAGTCCCTGAAACTAAAGAATTAGATATGAAAATGGGAAGAATTCTTATGCAGATTGCTGAATATAGAACTAAGCCTATTGAAAGCGAGACTGAATATGAAGAAGCTGCTGATCTTTTCCTTGAGCTTAATACGATCCTACTCGAGCCAGAAGGGAAACAAATATTTGAACTACACAAAGGACTCGAGCTTATGATGATCTTATATAGAAAGCAAAGAAATTTACGATCATTCATTATTAAAAGTCTTAATTTTGCACTTGAACAAAGAGCCAAGCTCTGCTCTAAATTTATTGAAATGAGTGGATTGCCAGTCCTATTCTCTTTCTTCATGAGAAAAGATTCACAAAAGAAAAAGAAAAAAGCTTATGTATATAAACAGGACCAAGATGAAATCGAAGAGGACGAGCAAAGGTAAACTTTCCTGATTTCCTAACTAATCCTTTCTTATAGTTGAATCTCATTGATCTCCAACCTGCTCAGGATTACCAAAGGAGTTGAATTTGACAGAGTATTTTATAAATTCAAAGAGAACAAATTTGAGAAAATAGATAGGCTTATCGAGCTTCATAAATACTACACTAATAAAGTTAGAACTACTCCTGAGGAAGAGGAAGATGACGGATACTTCACACTGCAAATTATAGACTTTGTGATTATATTCTTAATAAACTTGAAAGATTTTGACATTGAAGATCATTTCAAACTTCTCTTAGAAATGCATGGAATTAACAAAATTGATATCCAAAAGGTATCAATGGCGTATACAAAGACATTTGGATTAGAAGAGAAGGGGCAAAGTGATGCCATGAATCAACAACAAGAAGACCAATTCAGATCTGTCAGTGTGAATCCTTCTGAGTCTGAATCAGAAGAGACTATTGGAAACAAGAGAATCAAGCTTGATGAGCATACTTTGAATACTGACAATCTCAAATAATTATTTGTTTCAACCTTCAGGCTAATTATTGGGGTTTTGGGGTTTTGGGGTTTTGGGGTTTTGGGG